GGAATTTCGATTTCATCATCTTCTGAATTTTGCTCTCTAGTGCCTACGTTGCCTTTTCTGAACAGCCCCAAAATAGTTGACCACGGAATACTTGAGACAAGCTTAACAGGCCGAAGAAAGTCCTGGGTACGCTTGTTACCAAAGGTCTCCACCAATTCCAAGATTGCTTCCAAATTATTATTGTGAAACACGTCTGGATTTTCCCTATCTGTCGAGGAGGACGAGGATGAAGTGGTCAATGAGTTCCTGAATTCTGTATAAGTTGGTATGGCTTGAATGAGACCATTTGCTAAGGATCCAGACACGACAGAACCTGGGACATTAACAATCACATGATACATCATATCTAACAAATGCAGAGGTCTACGGTAACGGTCTCGGTTGGTCTTATCACTTGAGAACTTAACAGGAGATTGTGCTTCACACAATTGAAATAATATCAAGATCAGCTCTATATCATCTCCTTCCTCCTGACCATTAGAGTTAGGAGAGACTTGGAGTGACTTGCGAATCTCTTTCAACAGAACAAATGGGATTTGATTCTCGAGCATCATGATATCTCTCGTGACAATAGTGTTGTCCAACAATCTTCTGTCCGCGGTCTCATCTTGCACAAGATAAGAATGCAAGATGTGGAGAAAGAAACAACTGTCTATTGCTACGATCCATGCCAATGTATCTTGATCATAGTCCATGAACTTATTGTAACAAGCCCGGATAGAGGGATCCATCTTCTTCAACCTGTTGATCACGATATGTTGGAAATTGGAAATCTGCTCTGGGTTCGAGATCTCTTTGATGGCGGCGAGCTTGTACCTCTCCATGTGATAGAGCTCGGGGTGTAAATGATGGTAAGGCCCCATTGCTATGAGCTGAGGAGTATAAGCTTCGGGTTTTTGAAGTTTGAGTATTTTGGGGACTTCAAAAACAGAAACGGGAGGAAGATGGTCGATGTCGATAGCAAATTCTCTCTGGAAGATGTTGCTGACTCGATCAACCCAGCCCTTGGCGCTAGAGCTTAAGGGAACTGTGGCTGATGAATATGAATGTTCCATTTCTTTGGTTTTGGGATGATGTGAAAATGTTAAGCTTGACGATTGGTATTTATGGGAATGCAGATCCTGGTCGCCGCAATAACTTAATGTTGGACAGTTATTCTAATTTTTCCACACAATCTTTAGACGGTATAAAGTCGAGAAAAGCCTAGTATGATACACCACTGAAACGTGGAAATTATTTTTTGTTGGTACCGTGGACGAAAATTTGTGTATTTGTTACCTGTAATTATTAATTAAATTATGCTCCTCAAGGTTGTCATTGTCTTAGTCAACCAACAGCTGAACAATTAACATTTCCTTTTACTTTGTGGCGAGTTCTCCAATATGCGGTACAATTATTCATGTCATTGTCAATTTTGAAACGAATAAATAAATGTACAATTACGCATGCAATATGCAGATGAACATCCTCAGGTGCTTGAGAGGAAGAAAGTTAACATAGCTTAAACAGTGGAGTTGAATGTTAAAGGTAAAGGACGAAAAAGAAGTAAAACTCTACAGAATGGAGCTCTTATTTTGTATTTGAGTTGTACAAAATGGAAAATGAAGAGGGTACTGTGTATTAGTTTCATCACAAAAAAAAAAAAAAAAATTTGATACACAATATAGAAAACATGACTTAGGAAGCATTTGATAAAATTAAAATTTGAAATCTGAAAGCTGAAACTCAAGTATTGAAGTCTGAACTTGTTGAATTCATGAAGTTAAATTTGTTTGATAATCTGTTGAATTTGAGCACTGAATTGAAGTATTATAATTTATGTTTATTAGAATGTTCACTGCCAATATGTTATTTCACTTTAGATGGAATTAATTTTTAAACTATTACTTTTTAATTTTGATAAAACGAAACTAATATAAAAATTGAATGTTATGTGTATGAAAATGTGTGTATTTGGGGGAATGAAAAGATGCATGTTTTCATTGTATAATAATCGTATGATGTTTAGAAAATATGTGTAGGTAATGAAAACGTACGCATTTGTATATGTATGTTGTGAGAGAAAGTGTGTGTATTGCACGACTATGTGGCAGAAATATATATGCGTGTGAAAGAGAAAGAGAGTAGTGTATTTGTGTAAAAGAATGTAGGACTGTGGTGGGAGGAATAATTTTGAGTGAGTATCATTATACTAATTTGACCATACATTAAATTAAGTGATAACACTTTCGCTTTAAATTTTTTAGCAAAATTAATTTGATTTTAATATATTCAGATGCAAGGGAATTTGTCAAACAAGCTTAATAAAACAAAATTTTTTTAATTCATTGATTTTAAGTGCTTTTATTAAAGGATTAATATTTAGTACTTAAAGGGATTATCGAGCATCCCCTTACTAACTAAACAGTAATATTGCTCTTAAGAATATAAATATATTATTTCTTGGTGACCTTCTCACGAAACTATCACGTCCTTTAATTGCTTCAAATAATGTACAGAGAAAAGTCAATATTTTGAACCGGCCGTTTCACATGAAATTAGCAATTGACGATGAGATTGCTTGCAATTGATAGAATGGACAGCAATAACTCACAAGCAAGGGTGACTTAATAGCAGTTGACCTGAACATTCGATTTTCTTGCCTTTTGTGACAGTTTACAGTTTTTTGCGTCCCCTTTTTTTGTGAATTAAATAATGTATCCAAAGATACATGTATCTTTTCCAACTAAATTGGTAAGATTGTCTTGTAAAATAGTAAGTTTTAAGTACTTAACAAATTTACTTTTTTAATATTGAATCTTACCATTTATGTAATGAATTTTACTATATTTTTTGTCAAACTTACTCATTTTAGCAATATGTAAGTTTCTGAAGTAAATTAGTAAGTTTATCCAACAAAATAGCAAATTTCAAAAGTTACATTTTTATTAGTAAAACTTATTATTTATCTAACAAAACTTACTATTATTTTGATTAAACTTAGTAGTTTAGTTGTTTGTAAGTTTTTCAAGTAAAACAATAAGTTTGTGCAATAAAAAATAAATTTCAAAATTTACCTTTTTATTAGCCAAATTTACCATTTATCTGACAAAACTTACTACTAACCTCATTAAACTTACTAATTTAGCTGCATGTAAGTTTATCAAGTAAAATGGTAAGTTTGGACAATAAAGTAGTAAGTTTAGTCATCCATATAAGTTACTTTTTTAATGCACAAACTTTCTATTTATCTTCCAAAACTTACTATAATTGTAAAGAATTTACTAACCTAGCTTTAAGTAAGTTTCACAAATATATTGGTAACTTTGTGCAATGAAGTAGTAAATTTTAGTCACTAATAAAAAAAATACCTTTTTGTTAATAAGACTTATCATTTATCTTTCGAAACTGACTATTATTGTAATTAAATTTACTAATCCAATTTTGCGTAAGTTTCACATATAAAATAGTAACTTTCTTAAGTAAAAATGGTAAGTTTGTGAAATAAAGTAGTAAGTTTGGACAATTCACCAATTTACCATTTTATTTGTGAAACTTACCATTTTTTTAACAAAAACTTACCATTATTTCAATCAAACTTACTAATTATAATTGTTGTAACTTTCTTAAGTAAAATGGTAAGTTTGTGAAATAAAGTAGTAAGTTTGAACAATTCACCTATTTACCATTTTATTTGTAAAACTTATTATTTTTCAACAAAACTTACCATTATTTGAATTAAACTTACTAATTATAATTTCGTTGGAGAAGTAGAAACATTCGATATTTAAAAAGTAAATTTCTTATCACACTTATAATTTACCAATTTTATTACCAAAGTTACCATATTACCATCTGATGTTACTTTGAATATTGGAAACTTGAATGAGCAGTAGTGCAATTGTAGCTAAATATACTAATCTTGGATGTGGGGTCCACTATTAACCGGTTATACCAGTATTTTAATGTAAAATATTCACAAGTTATGATAACGATCGGCACTGTATCATTTTCCTTTCAAAAATTTGGGTTTGATCTTTGTGGTTTTTGCAGTATTTGCTTAAGACTTAGGGAAAATGACCAATTTAGTCCCTATACTTTTTTTTACTGTCAATTTAGTCCTTACATAATTTTTTTGACCAATTTAATCCCTATACTTATTTATCGGTTCCAATTGAGGAACTTGAATATCGGTTCAAAGTTACCATATTACCATCTGATGTTACTTTGAATATTGGAAACTTGAATGAGCAGTAGTGCAATTGTAGCTAAATATACTAATCTTGGATGTGGGGTCCACTATTAACCGGTTATACCAGTATTTTAATGTAAAATATTCACAAGTTATGATAACGATCGGCACTGTATCATTTTCCTTTCAAAAATTTGGGTTTGATCTTTGTGGTTTTTGCAGTATTTGCTTAAGACTTAGGGAAAATGACCAATTTAGTCCCTATACTTTTTTTTACTGTCAATTTAGTCCTTACATAATTTTTTTGACCAATTTAATCCCTATACTTATTTATCGGTTCCAATTGAGGAACTCCGCGGTGGCGCCACCTTGTAATTCCAATCAAACGTCTAATTGAGCACTTAAGCAAGGGTATTTCGGGTACTTCACTGTTGGGGCTCCTTTTCAGAAGTAAAAAACAAAACCAAAAGTTACCGGCACACTTTTATCACCAGTAAAAAAAACCCAAACCTGAAACCTCAACTTTTTCTCGCAAGATTTCAGTCGATTTCAAAGGATGCGGGTGGTCAAGATTGTCTGTTTTTCCCCTTGCATTTGGAAATTTTGGCACAAGCTAGACAAATAGTCAAACGCCCGCACCTTTTCTCTCAATTACTCAATTTATCAATCAAATCAATGGCTGAAAAATTGAAATATGACAATCAATCTAACAGAATAATACCGAACAGATGACTGAAAAATATGGAATAACAATAGCAGTAATGCGAAAATGGTAACAAAAATAAAATAATAGCAAACAATAAAAGTCGTCAATGGTCGCCGGCTAAATCTAATACAAGAAAGCCAAGGCAATCGACAAGAAAGTGAATGGCAACACTGCTACCGCAAAAGATGGAGCAGAGTTTGGTGGAGGAGGAGCTGAGACACCAGCTGGAGAACCAGACGGAGATGGAGTGGTAGAGCCCGAAGGTGACGTGCTAGGAGAGCTAGAGGGTGGTGGGGTGGAAGAGCTGGAAGGTGGAGTTGCGCCGGTCGATGAAGGACCAGGAGCAGAGGCAGGGCTGAATGGAGGCCTGGTGGGGGCCGGAGTTGGTGATGGAGTGGCAGCAGTTCCGGTGACGTTGATGGCTAGCTTTTGGCCGAGTGAGCAGTGTCGAGGGAAGGTGCATATGTAGAAATGTTGACCTGGGGTGGTCAGGGTAATTTTGGTTGGACCGGTGTTCATTGTGGTTCCGGTGGCAGAGGTGTTGCAGGAATGATAGGCTGACTTTGATGTCACCACAGCAACATCATGAGCTCCAGTTGTAAAGTTGAACACTGCATTATTAATGCAATATTGCAAAGTAGATACATGTCAGTAACCAACAGAAAATTTCTTGCAAGATTTCAGTCGATTTCAATCGGTTTTTGCAAGAAAAAGTTGAGGTTTCAGGTGAGTTTTCTCAGTGGTGATAAAAGTGTGCCGGTCACTTTTGGTTTTGATTTTTACTTCTGAAAAGGAGCCCCTGCTGAAGTACCCAAAATACCCCTGCTTAAGTGCTCAATTAGACGTTTGGTCGAAATTATAAGGTGGCGCCACCGCAGAGTTCCTCAATTGGAACCGATAAATAAGTATAGGAATTAAATTGGCTAAAAAAATTATGTAAGGACTAAATTGACAGTAAAAAAAAGTATATGGACTAAATTGGCCATTTTCCCTAAGACTTATTCATAAGTAACATTTTAAATCTCTTTTATTTCTTGCCTCTGAAATTTAAGTAATGTTTTCTTATCTTGGGCAACATGTCCGTATAATTGACCAAAGTTCAAAGGCGAAATCTAAAACATTCCCTACGAAGTTCCTCAGTAAAATATATGCATGTTTTGAAATCTTGGAAGACGGGTACATAGTTATCCTGAATTGGGATTTTGAAGCCAGTCTCGGCATCAATTCAATTCCATATAAAATTAAAAAGGAAAAAGAAAAATTACAGCAAATCCAAGAAAAAAGTACTTCAATGAAAAGACAATTTAATTCAAAACTTCTGGAAGGAAAGACTATACAAATTAACCTGGTTCGTAGGTCCAAATTGTCATCCACTTCATATATAACCACATTAACGCTTGCATACTCCTAAAACAAATCATAGATTTCACGGAGAATATAAATCAAATATAAAATGTTAGAGATTTAATATATACATTAGTCTTTCCTGTACTAATAGTATATACAATGACAAGTTTCATATGTATAAAATTTGAAGTTTAAATTCTAATTTTGATTACTTAGTATGCATTTAGACTTGTTACTGTATACATTTTCAATGTAAAAAAATTAAATAGTATATATCTACATTAGTCTTCCCTGTACTAATAGTATATACAATAACAAGTTTCATATGTATAAAATTTGAAGTTTAAATTCTAATTTTGATTACTTAGTATGCATTTAGACTTGTTACTATATACATTTTCAATGTAAAAAAAAATTAATCCTTAAACTATATCTGTTTGTGTTATTTTTTGTATGTCCATTTGAGCACAAAACTTGTCATTCTGTGAGTTATGTGTCTAAGGAGACAGTATCAAGGGAAAAACCGGACGAATTAGAGAGAACAGGCTAGTTTTTTTTTTTTTTTTCGAACCAATAATAGAAATGGATGGATAGTGTTTCTATACAAGTCATCTTCTTAATTTGACCAGAGCTACGTACACAAAGCCATTTGAAGTTAACCAGTATTTTGTTTTCTTTTTTGGTTCTTTTGTTATAAGATAACAACAAACTCACAATTGTTAGAGCAATACAATCCGAAAACTAACTTTAGATGATGACAGTTACAACTCAAGAACACTACAAATAAACCAATAAATAGTGAGACATGAAATTCAGACATAATGAAAATTGAACTCAAAATTTCTAAATTCTGCAGTCTTAATTTTGATCACTAAATCAAGGTAATTCGCTAAAAATCAAACGATTTGGTCTACTAATTAGATTGAGTCTTAAAATTCCGGGAATGGAAAAGAATATCAAATAAACTCCAGGAAATATTGGTACGTTTCCTGTCTGGCTGCATCATTATTATTATTTTTTCTGATAGAAAATAGAGTTCTCATCAACCTTGAACAAGATCAGCCGATAACAATGGCATAACATTGACAAAGCCTAATTCTTATTGGATTAATTTATCTAGAAAATGGCTCTATTAGGAATATTCCAAATTTAAATATCGCTTCCACGAAGCATAATGCAGCCAAAATCCACTTCAATTTAACAGTTTCCAAGATGTCGGAAGCAAAGAAAACCTTGATCAATTTGCCTATAAAGATGCACTTTCAACATGGCTGTTTCCAAGTTAATCAACATGATGGTCAACATTCAACTGAATTTCTTCTGTAGATAAAACTGAATTTAACAGATGTATACATCCAATTATTCATTTCCGGTGTGTAGCTCTAGCTCATCACAGAGGCCTTCTGTCCCTGTAAAATATGATTTCATCAGCTTTATTGGAACCTCTCTTCCATTTCCATCCAAGGTAATTTTCTCCCTCTATTTCTGGTGTCGTTTCTTTTTCTGTTTTCATTTTTTTTCGAATGTTCCTTGGCCCGTAAATTGTCGCCATTGGTAAAGCCACTGCCGAGAAAGCTGGAGAAAATCTTAACCGGGGTACATGAAACAATCAAGAAGAATACGGTGGAACTGATAGATGCATTTGTTGACTTGGCGTTTGATTTTGTTGATCAGCCATTGCTCCCGTCTCAGGTACATGCCTCCATTTTATTTTTCCCGGGGCATAAATCCGATATGCATCCAGGAACGCTTAATATACGAACAATAAGCACATGATAATTAACCAGAAAAATGATGGGTGCAGGCAAATTTTGCTCCGGTAGAAGAGTTGGAAGGGGCTATTCATGTTGCGGATATAGAAGGGATTATTCCAGACGATTTTCCCGACGGAGTTTACATCAGGAACGGTACGTATATTTCGCACCGGCCTCTGATGTGACTGGCGATCCTTAGTCAGGTTCATGGCACGTGCCTACACTGGCCAAAGATACATTTCATTATTAGTTTTATTTTTCCCTAATTGGAAAGGTTTTGAGCTCAGAATCTCTAAATCTCATATTTCAATATTAGGTATACGATTTCTACAAAAAAGTTGATTGACTTTGTTGATTTATAAATACTTTTTTATATTGGGTTTTAAAACAATTTTTTTTTGTAACTGGATAATTTGTAGAAAATCAATATACATGTGTATCAAAAGTATCACAAAAAATTACTTAACATACATATTTCATCACTTTAATGACGGTTGGAAGCACAAACCCAATGCTTTAAAAGAGTTGTAGGACATTGGTGGTTTTTTTTTTCTTTTTTTCTTTTTTCCTAAGAATAACAATACTTTCCTACTTTTAATTATTTGTAGGGCATTAGTAGGTTTTTTTGGCCTACTCTTGTATGAATTTCCTACTGCTCGATCAAACTTTACTTGATCAGTCACTGTTTGACGATGACACTGTACAAATGGTCATCCTCAAAATCTTCATGAGCCCAGTTCTTCTATTAGCTTCCATTCTTGGAAATTCGATTTGCCATCAGCCATGTTGCTGTTGGAAGTAATGGCGTCCTCCAGAAAGAAAATTATACTTCTAGTTGTAGCCTTTGAGTTTTCTTGTTGTACTACTGTCTTTGGATGCCGTCCACTTTAGGAGCTTATTCAATATGGAGGATATTCTCTAAACCTAACCAAGAGATTTATGAAAACTAGTGGAACTAAGTTGTTGAAACATGATGTTGGCCTGGCCGTATGATCAAGAGCTCAAATGATTCTTGATTTCTGAATTACGGGATGGGAGTGTCTTGAATTAGAAGTCAAGGTTGAGAACTTGTGTTACAATTAGCTCAAAATAAATTGTGTTACAAGGTTGAATTCTTTTACCCTCTTTATTCTAGTTATTTATTATTACTTTTATCTTTATAACACATTTTTCAAAATTTGAAAAAGTTAAGAGAAATCAAGAAGTATTCCCTTGCCCATTATAACCTCCTATTCTTGATCTTTTTCGTGATATTTGTGTAACTTCTGGATTGAGTGTAGTGGTATCAGGACTGTAAGAAATTAACATGTTAAACACTGGGGAAATTTTAATTTAATTACATAAGCGGGCACTAAGGCATAATATATCTTTTCATGATGGTTGGCATAGTGCCAAATTAATGGATTTAACATCCAGCTTATGCAGCCCACTAGATTTCAATAGGTAGGGTTCAGTCTTTAAAAAAAAAAAAAAAAAAAAAAACGAGGGTAGGATCTAGGCCATGCATCCAAAAAAATTTTGATTTTTGTGCAGAGGCTTAGATGATTGCAATGTAATGATACATAATTTATTCTGTTAGACTGTTTCCTACAAAGTAATTTCGTTTGCTTCTGAAATATGTTTCGATATGTAAATAATTGACCACGGAATTATATTTCTGTATTTTACGATGTAAGATTGGCTAATATGGACAGAAACTGCATACCAAATAAATGTTTGTCGCATTTCCAATTAATCAATTACCAACTTAATCATTCCAGACTGAAATCTATGAATTTGCAGGACCGAACCCACTTTTTGGAGGATACAAATCAGCAATTTCTATGTTTGGAAAATCAAGCCATACATGGATAGAAGGAGAAGGAATGCTTCATGCATTATATTTTAGTAAACTGAGCAGCGGCACCAGGACCATTTCATACAAAAACAGATATGTCCAATCAGATACATTCAAATATGAAACAGCAAGAAGAAAGCCTGCTTTCCTTCCAGCAATCGAAGGAGATTCACCAGCTGTTTTTTCTGCTCTTATGCTGAATTTGGTAGGCTGGCATTATTAAAATTCACTTGATTTATTAAATAATAATGTGGGATCATATTTTAGTTACCTGATGATTAATAAGTGTACTTATGATTAAAACGTGTGCCAGCTACAGCTGACTAACACAGCTAGTATTACTGTAGTTGTTAATTATTGCATGGAATCATTATTTCATAAAATTTTTTCTCGAGTCAAAAAGTTTCTTCGATCATTATAGTATATGACTGAAGACTAGGAGGCTAAATTGCATTCATCAGACTAAAGTCTCATTTTCCATTTTACCCATTGATTTTTTTTTTTTTGGGTGTCAATTTAGCTATTGAATTTCTAAGATTGCACATCACATCACAGGAAAGAATATCATATGATTTTGCTTTATACATCAGCGTAATGAAGACACATGATTGGAGGAAGGGACGGGATAATTAAGGCTCCAGAATAGTTAGGAATTTAGGATGGGGCAAATCCTCAAGCCACCTGTTTATTTATGCCTTGTTTATGAAGTGTCTTATCCTTAAGTAGAAGGGCGGCGACAATTTTGGAATATGCATATTAGATTACCAAAAAAGTACCCGAGATTGGTACTTTTTAAAATATTGTTTGAATATTAAATTCTTCATCAAATATTGTTTGAATCCACTTCCTGATTAAGATGCTTGTTTCCTTATCCAAATTAGTACCTTATTTGCACCAGGAAACTACAGAAAATCTGCCAGTCTAGAACATTAATCAAGAAAACAATAACTCTGTCCAAATTAGCACAATAACGATAATGATTGAACTAATTAGTCCCAAGATTAATAACAGGATAGGTAATCCCTTTTAATCCCTGACTGTTGAAACAATTGAGTCCCTAGACTTTCTACACAATGCTGTTGTAGTCACTTTGCTGACAACTTGAGTTTATGTTTCTCGTCACAGTTGAGATTTGGCACTGTTGACAAATTCCTTAGCAATACCAACGTTTTTGAGCATTCTGGGAGATTCTATGCGATTGCTGAGAATCATGCACCTCAAGAAATTGACATCAAGACACTTGAAACTATAGGAAAATGGGATCTTCATGGAGCTTGGGATGGACCCTTTACTAGCCACCCCAAGGCACTCAAACAATTCACATGTATCATGAATGTCATCACTATGGTAACTTTACATATATGAACTGATACGAGTTTTTCATGCTTGCTAAGGGATGCAGAAAGTTTTATTAACAGGAGAACTTGTAGTGTTTGGGGTTAGTGCACAAAGACCATATATGAAGCTGGGAGTCCTATCAGGTAAGGTTTTGTTGCATTTTATCACTGATTAGCCTCCAACAATAGCCGCTGGCTGAGACCTTTTCATCCCTGGACAGCTGACGGGAGGAAAATGAAACATCAAGTGGACCTTGAACTAAAAAGGTGCACTCTTTGCCATGACATAGGGGTTACAGAAAGGTAGTCTATCTTAATCTAGTCGGAGCATGTGTTAGTCCAAAATAACTAATTTAATTATGACACTATCTTCATAAGTTTCAACTCATTTTGCAGCTATAATGTGATCATGGATTTTCCACTAACTATAGACATAAATCGACTGATGACTGGTGGCTCGTATGTACTCCTTAGATCAATATTCGTGTCTTTTAATGAATCTAGATCAGATTTTGGAATATGTTCCAGTCATCTCTTTCATTTGTTGGCTTTGTAGACTAATAAGGTATGAGACAGAAGGATATGCAAGAATTGGAGTAATGCCTCGTTATGGAGATGCTAAGTCCATCAGGTGGTTTGAGGTGGAACCATGCGCTGCACTTCACATGATTAATTGTTTCGAGGATGGTGATGAGGTAATTATTGATTCTTCATCAAATAATCAAGCTAATTTTTACCTGAAAAGATAATTTGTTTCTGTTTTTGGTGCACATGTACCAGTCCTTAAATTGAAAGCTACCTCATCGTTGTAACAACTAACAATTGACACATTTTTGAAGTTATTATTGCACTGAGCAGATTGTAGTGATGGCGTGCAGAGCTCGTGGATCAATTATACCAGGACCTGAATTTGGTTCTAACAAATTTGAGTGGTTTTCCAGAGGTTTTAAGCATATAAGGTCAGTAGATGCATCTCAGAAAGATTTACAGGATGGAGCATTTTTTAGTCGTGTTTATGAGTGGAGATTGAACATTGAATCTGGAGAGGTGAAAGGAAGATATCTTACTGGGACAGAGTTTTCTATGGAATTCCCTGTTATAAACGAGAAATTTACTGGTGTTAAAAATAAATATGGATACACACAGGTTGTTGATTCTGCGGCAAGCTCAAACTCAGGTACCCATGTAACTGCCATCTCTGTAGAGTCTAGACGCAAGTCTTGCACTCTGCCAAGAGCTTTCTTAATTAAAATCGACTGGGTGATTGAAATTCTCAGGGATGGCAAAATATGGTGGACTTGCAAAGCTTTATTTTGAAGAGAAAGCATTTGACCTTTCACTGGTACTGTTTCCTGTGCTATTCTTCTGTGCTTTTCTTGAAGTTTCGAATTCCCCTTCCCTTATTGTTTTCTGAAATACCAAAATCATTGATTCTAGTTGGATTACCAGCCTGAAGAGTTCATGAAGGTTGAGCGTCACAAGTTTCAAGAAAACACATTTTGTTCAGGAGCCACCTTTGTCCCTAACTCTGTTGGTGTTGAAGAGGATGATGGTTGGATCATCGCATTTGTACACAACGAACGGACTAATATATCTCAGGCAAGTTATATCACATTTACTAAGGTAGAGAGTGTGTAGAAGGTATTGTCTATTGATTCCTTAGCAATAAGTTTTACAACTGCCATGCCCTCTATCCAGGTCTATGTCATTGATGCCAAGAAGTTTGCAAGTGAACCAATTGCCAAGATCATGCTTCCAAGTAGAGTGCCGTATGGTTTTCATGGAGCTTTTCTGGCATTATGTTCACAAGGCTAGCAACATCTTTGACGTGAGATCAATGTGGAGTTATATATTGCACATTCAGGGCTAGCACATTCAGAGTTATATATAGTGACGTGAGATCAACATCTTTGATGTTCACAAGGCTAGCAACATCTAGAGGCGTGCTTGTTTGCACATTCAGGGAATACCGAGGTTTCTGTATGGACATTTAGGCAGAGGGTATATTCCTTTTCTTGTGTAAAAGTTCTTCCTTGTCTGAAATATTTACCTATTTTTCGTTTGAAATCTAGTTTTCAGATCTAATATGTGAAAGAAATAACAATCCAGAGCTATCTAGGGTGTTAGATGTGCATGGTTGCCCTCCTTCATTTTTGTCCTTGTGGTATTCTTTATTCTTATATGCTCTTTATTGCTTTAATCTGAAGCAGATGATGGCCGTTCACATTCAAACTTACATGTAAAAAGCAACAAATATGTATATAATTACAAGTTCTAACATGCAGTACCAGATAAACAGCTGAAGCAGCTGGCATCTCTCCACTAATCCTTTGAACAACCAGAAACATGTTCTTAATTTTCAGGGGAAAAAGAAAAATTGATAGTCTGACTGAATCAACCAAAGGTGATGACAGTTCATTTGACAGTACTCATCTTTGGAGACAAAACCTTTGCAGACAAAACCTTATTATTGCCAGATTAGCTGGCTACGCATCTGAATTTCTGAATTGAACTGTGGAACATGCTTGATAGATCAAAGTCTTCATTTGTAGGACAGTTTTGAACAGGCTTTTCAATTACAGATTGCCGCTGTCTTATGCCTTTGAGTGCACAAGTGAAGGAAGTGGCGATTATCTGGAGTCATAAAAATCATTTGTGGCTCTTATCCTCCTTTGTTGTAAATAGCCTCTTTTGTTTAGAGGCTATCGGCAGAGATACCGTTCACCGTACTATAAAATATGAATAGTAGATAGTTTTTTCCCAGCTAACGACGGAACATCTTACTTGTAGATGCTGTTTCAACGTTCAACACAGTGCTAAAAAGAACAACTTTTGGGGTGCTACAATTGTATCTGTGGTTCAAAGTCGCGGTCGCTGTCCGGACCATTCCATATCGGTCTTAGCGAGACGCAAATTTTAAAGCATTTAATATTCTAAAAATTGTGAATAATATTCAAAAATATGCTAAATAAAAATAATTAAAAAATAGCAAAACAGAATCTGTAAAATGTAAATTTGCTAGTTGACTCGGATGACGCGAGCCGACTCGGCCGAGACTATTCGTATCAGAGACTTTTTGATAGGTTGCAATTTTATCATTTATTTTATTATTAATTTCCCCTATTACCTGACCCGATGTGGATTAATTGTTAGATTCTACTCACTTTTGGCAATTAGTATTTATTTCAGGGAGTAGAACGGAAATACCATAACAAGTACCAATTTGGCAATCATCGGGAAAGAGTTCAAGTAGAAGGCATCCAGGGACATTTTTGGAATATCAAGACACGATCTTTCTTGGTAATTTGGCCGAAGACAGCATTAAAAAAGAAAAGGCTGGAGTCTTCTTCCTCTCGCGAGGGGACGCCGCATAGTAGCAGTAGGAACTAGATATTAGATAGCAGACAATTAGACAACTCTGGAGATTACTTTCTTACTTGGTTTTTTACTTTTCCCTCTTTTCGTCTTTTAGTAGTTGTGCTCCCTGCGTATGTCAGGGACAATTAGAAACAAGCAATCACTCTCTGTAGCTTTGTTTTTCTTTTCCTGATTGAAGCGAATTGAATTCTCCCAATTTCCGAGACAATGGCCGCGACTATTGCTTCAGTTTTGTATGGGTTCCCTCATCAACGATGAACTAAACCCTTTTTTCTAGTCAAGAAACAATAGAAACTTTGGTTCGCTTAAAAATTGTGAGATCGATTTAATTTTATCTTTTTCTCTTATTTATTGATATTTGCATATTCTACGATTGCAGTGCTTATGGTTGTTTAATTGATTGATTATCTTTGATCCGAATAGTGAATTGATTTAGTAACCTATTGTCAATTAGGCATTAAATCCGTAATTGTTTAATTGCCATGAAATAGTGACAACTGGCATGATTGGATTTGTGTCGGGGGAATACGCTGGCTAATTTAAAATAATCCTGATAGTGCGTTATTTGGTTAGAATAGGACTCCTCTAATAAGTAAGGTAATTGGGGAAGTAAATCTTACGGGCGTACCTAGGATTATTTCTTAATTAGAGCAGTGATTAACGGGCGTACCTTAATCACCAACACAGTAAGGAGGGATAGACTGTCATCGCTTGTTTGACAGTTATAACCTATTTATTAGTAAATAATTGGAATTGCCTTTGTATCGATGATCAATTAGGTAAACCATTACTGAAGTTATTTCTTGGCTAGACCTTTAGTTATTATTACTCTAATTTTAGTGAATTGTCATTTAATTTCTAATTAGCTATTTATTTTTATTTGAATTCCTTTGATTGTCATCGTTTATACGAAAACACCCCCTTGTTACTGTGGATTTGAAAAGAAACAAAATATCTCCAATTCCTGAGGATACGACCCTACTTGCCATGTATACAAATCAATAATTATTTGTGAAAAAACCATCCCACTCGGGTTTATTGAATCAAGGAAACTCTTCGAAAATAGGGTGAATCAAGTAACCCATTGCACATCTAAAGTCCCTGGTCCAGTATTTGGAATCGAATTTTGGTTAGTTTAATTGACAATTAGGTTTATTTTTATTATTGCACAGGCATCGACAACCTGTCAATTTTTGGCGCCGTTGCTGGGGACTGGCGTTAATTATTTGTTTCTTTTTAAGTGTTATTTTATTTTAATTTTCTGGTATTTTTTCTAGTGTATGCCTCGTTCTTCTCGTACAGGCGAATTGATTTTGATCCTGAAGTAAAGAAGACTGCACGCCGAACTAGGAAAGAAACTAGACAACTCAGAGAGGAGCAATCCAATGCTGCATCTCAGGGACTTAATCTAGAGGTGGAGTCGACAAATTTGTGTCGTGATAATTTGAGTGATTCAGACCAAGAGAAAGTCACTATGGCAAATGCACGAACACTAAGGAAGTTGGCTGCTCCTGATTTAAATTAGCAGCTTTTATGCATTACTTTCCCAAGTTTGAATGATAACACTCTATTTGAATTAAAATCTGGTCTAATTCATCTCTTGTCATCTTTCCATGGTTTACCAGGTGAGGAGCCGTATAAGCACTTGCAAGAGTTTGATGTCGTTTGCAACAGCATAAAACCCCCGAGAATTACAGAAGAGCAGATAAAAATGAGGGCATTCCCCTTCTTCTTGAAGGATTCTGCAAAAGACTGGATGTACTACCTACCACTAGGTAGCATCACCACATGGGACCAGCTGAAGAAAAAGTTTTTGGACAAATATTTTCCTGCGTCTCGAGCTGCAAGTCTAAGGAAGGAGATATGTGGTATCAAGCAGCATTCAGGAGAGTTGCTTTATGATTACTGGGAGCGATTCAAGAAGTTGTGCATCAAGTGCTCTAAGCACCAAATAAGTGAGCAATTGCTCATACAATATTTTTACGAAGGGCTACTCTTCAGCGACAGGAGTATAATTGATGTTGCAAGTGGAGAGATATTGGTGAACAAGACTCCTCGAGAAGCGTGGGAGCTAATTGAAGGAATGGCCGAGAATTCGCAGCAGTTTGGTACGAGGGAGGATGTCCTGACACGCAAAGTGAATGAGGTAGAGACATCTTCTACCCAGCAGTAGTTGACGGAGCTAACATCTTTTATTAGACAATTGGCTGTAGGAAATGCATCACAAGCCAAGGTGTGTGGAATTTGCACTGCTATGGGTCATTCTACAGAGATGTGCCCAATGATTCAAGAAGAAAGTGCGGAGCAAGTGAACATGGCTGGTCACGCGCCCGCGCCAAGAAAACCCTATGACCCGTACTCGAATACGTACAATTCAGATTGGAGAGATCACCCTAATTTCAGCTATGGAGGAAATAGGCAGTTCAATTTTGCACCAAATAAACAGCAAGGGCATCAACAACATTATCAACCTTGGCCGCCGCCACTCCCTTCGAACTCAAGTCCGTCCATGGAGGAGATGATGAAACAATTAATTGCTAATCAACAAAAAACGGATTCTGACCTATAAAGTATGAGGAATCAACTGGGACAAATACAAGCGATGCAGAGTCAGATGAGTCAGATTGCGATAGCAATTAACTGCCTAGAATCCCAAGTCCAAGGTAAATTGCCGTCTCAACCTGAATTGAACCCGAAGAACGTAAGTGCGATGACCCTAAAGAGTGGGAAGGAAATTCAGGGGCCTGAACTCACGATTCCAAAGGACAAGGATCAGGAAAAGATTGAGAACGAGATTGAGAAGGAGGGAAGTAATGGCAAAAATCCAGTGGTACTCCCTGACCCGATCGTTGAGGTCAAAACTCATCCGCCTCCCTTTCCTAGCAGATTGGAGAAATCGAAAAAGCAGGATAAGGAGAAGGAGATCCTGGAGGTGTTCCGCAAGGTAGAGATCCATATTCCCCTGTTAGACGCAATCAAACAAGTGTCGAAGTACGCAAAGTTTTTGAGAGACCTGTTCGTCAATCGAATGAGGCTGAGGGAAGATGAAAGAGTTATCGTGGGGAAGAATGTGTCCGCGGTTCTACAGAGGAAACTCCCACCGAAGTGTGGGAACCCAGGTATGTTTACTATTCCCTGTAAGATAGGTAACACCCAGATTGAAAAAGCCATGTTAGACCTAGAAGCATCGATCAATGTAATACCAAAATCTATCTATGCTTCTCTGAATATAGGTCCATTAAAAGAAATTGGGATAATAATTCAACTAACTGACCGAACTAATGCATACCCTGATGGGTTGGTTGAGAATGTGTTGGTCAAAATTAATGATTTGGTATTCCCAACTGACTTTTATGTATTCGACATGGATGATGATCATTCTCTCGACTCTTCACCTTTGCTATTAGGTAGGCCATTCTTGAGTACTGCCCAAACTAAGATTGATGTTAGTAAGGGTACTCTCACAATGAAATTCGATGGAGAAATAGTCCATTTTAATATTTTTAATACAATAAAACATCCTGTTAACTCTCATTCTGTGTTTGCTACTCATGCTACTAATCTCTCTGTGCAAGAATTTTCTGAGTTTGGTTGTAGGGATAAATTCAAAGTTCCTGCGAACAAGTATCAGGGGATGAAAACAATTTATGAGGTGAAAATGAGCAGAAAATTAAGAAAGAAGGCTACACTCAATGGCTATTTGGATCCCGGAGAAGGGCCATCGATTACAAGGAAAATTGAATTACATCCAGATTGAAGAGCGGTGTTTAACGTCTAGCCAAAGACGTTAAAGAAAGACGCTTATTGGGAGGCAACCCAATTTCTTTTAGTTGTTTGTTCAGTTTTTTTGTTGGCTTAAATATGTTTTCATAGGGTTTAACAGATTTCTGGCTTAAATTTTCATTTTTTTATGATTAGTAGGTATCTGTCTGACATGACGCAACGTGGCACGATGCGACTTCCTAGTGCTTGGTCAGAAGGGTTCTTGCCTTCTTGACGTGCCCGCGTCATGTTCGCGGGAAAGGTAGGCATTTAAATCTCAAAAAATTTCGAGGTCATTTTCATCTCAAATTTTGAATTTCAAAAATACAAAAAAAAAAAAATTTTCGTTTGGCCATAACTTCAAAAATGAAAAAAAAAATGGAAAAAAAACCAAAAACTATTTTATTTTTATTTTTCTCTTTTCTTTTCTTTCTTTCTTTCTTCCTTTCTTTCTCTTTTCTTTCCTTTTTCTCTCCTGTTTCTTCTTTCCCCTCTTGGCCACATCTCAAATTCACGCCGCCGCCTCCTCATCTTCCACCAACGCTGGCCGTCGACACCGCAACCACTCGTGGCCGTCGCCTTCCGCCACCGCCTCTCTCGCTCTCCTCGACGCCTCCGCCTCTCCCTCGCCATCCATCTCTCCCTCTCTCTCTTAGTCAAATTCGCCGCCCCCTTCACCGCCATAGAGCGCCATCGACGCCTCCGCCGTCAGGCGCCGCGCGCCACCACCTCTGTCTTCTTCTCTTCACCGCCATCATTCTCTTCTGCAGATATTGTTTTGCCACTGTCTACGGTGGAGGTATTTGACAATCACTTCCCAATTTCTTTTTGGTATTGTTTGGTGCTGTTGGGTTTTCCAGTGATTTGGATTCTATGGACAATTGACTCGTTTCATTACTATGGGGTGTACCAGTGGTACTGGTTGGGGTATTTTTGACTAGCATTTGTTATTTCTAATTGGTTAGTGATAGAGTAACTATTAGGCACCTTTTGCGCTATTATTTTGTCTTAATTTTGGTTACTTACGGTGCTAAGTGTTGAGATTCTGCTCAAATTTGGTATTTGTGTAAAGTGTAGGTGGTTGGTATAAAAAGTGCTCTCACAAAGCAAATTATCAGAAGACTTTATTTCATGGCGTGCCCACGCCATGAATTGAGGAGATATACCTAAAAGTCTGACACGCGGGATTGGTAGCAGCAGGAGGGCAATTGGGAAATCAAAAGGCTCATGGGCCGCAGAGGTGTAGAGGATAAAAAACTCTAATCCTACAAAGCTTTAAGGACTCTGAAACTTACCTTTCTTTTCGGCGGCTATTGTGAGGGAATTGGCTAATAAAAACAAAGCCAGAATCACGTGTGATAGATTAGATGAGCTTTTAGTTTGCTCTGGCAGACGTTTCTTCCTTTCTTTGCGGCGGTGAATAGAGGAAAGGCCAGAATCACGCGGGCTTAGGAGATTAGCTTTATTTCTTCCTGGAGAACGATTGATGCTGTGTTTTGGCTTTTGTACGAATTTTGTAAGACTTTTGCTTGATTCCTTTTCTTCTCCGGATAGACACGAAGCAAGAAAAGAGACAAAAAGACTTTTCCTTTTGCTTTCTGCGTTATTTTACTTTTTTCAATTCTTTGGCAATTGCGTGGATGTTATCAATCAAATCAAGCGAGAGTGACACGATGAGGAGCGGCTAGGTTTCTCCTCTACCCAAAGGTCGACGCGAAAGCGCGGTCCCCAACATATATGAGATCTAATCGAATTTTCATTATTTCTTCCAATTCGTTACTATTCGTGCATTTTCTGGATTAATTGTTCATGGGTATTTTATTAATTGAGTATCAACGGCCGGATATTTAATTTAATATAATAGCCTACTGCCACGTTAACTGAATTGAATCCGTAATTGTTCGTTTAGTTGACACCTAGTGACAACCACCATAATTGGATTTATGTTGGGGAAACGTAAGATCTAATTTAAATAAACCCTCTTAGCGTGTTTATTGGTTAGGGTTGGGTTCTTCTAGTTTTAATGCAACTGGATAATTAAATTCCTACGGTCGTACCTAGGGTTATTTTCTGGTTAGGGAAGCAGTCAATGGTCGTACCTTGACTGTCGAAAAAGTAAGGAAGAACTGGTTGTCAGAACTTGTTGATAGCTAAACCAACCTAGTGACGGATGAATGAAATATCTTTGCATCGATGATCATTTAATTGGACCGTACCTGAAAAGTTGATCCTTTGAGTAGAATTTCATTAATTGCTATTTTTAGTAAATTGTACTTGTGGAGTTATCTTTTGAATTTTATTTATTTCATTTTCATTTTCATCCCATTAATTATCCCCCAATTTTATTCTATTGACTTGGAAAGAAACACCTTCTTACCCGTTCCCTATAAAATCGACCCTACTTGCCATTGTATGTAAATTTAATATTTTTATAGACAATTCTAGTATATCGGATTAAGCACACTCTTCGAGAATAGGGTGAATCAAGTAACTCATTGCACACTTAGGGTCCCTGCTCCAGTACTTGGATTTGTTCTATAATTAATTGTAGTGGTAACTAGGACTTTTTAGTAATTATTATTGCACAGACTCGGCACCTGTTAGTTAGCTGCCTGATTGAAAAGGGAGAACTTGTAATTGTGAGGTTATTGTCAAATTTCTAAACTACTATTGCTGGAATTGCCGATTTTGAGTTGAAATATTCATTGTCCAATTGGAGACTTTGACGAGATTTTGGATGGACAGAGTTTTGCATTTGCTGGTTGAATTGAGTTGAAATGTCTCAGAACTTGGCCGCGTACTTCCATCACATCGATTTCCCTGCACCGTTCCCGCCTACCTCTTAGCCACTCATGAGAGAAGTTTCCTTGTCCTCTTCACTTTACTTGTTTTCTACTCTCCATTGGGGACAATGTTGGATTTAGATGTGGGGGGATCAGCTGTGGTGCTAGTTTTTCTAGTTTTTAGTTTTCAGATGTTTTTCTTTTATTTTTAGTTTATTATTTGTCTAGTTTTCGTTTACTTTTTTGTCATTTATCTGTCTAGCTCTCCTATGACTGCCAAAGTTTGATATTGAATTGTTGACTCTAATTCTACTATTGCCAAATTTTAATAATAAAAGTGTATCGAGTTAATGTGGTTGATTCCAAGAACATCTCTTTGGTGAATATCGGTGATTGGTTAACTCTTTTGATTTTTTTTTTGTTAACTTTTCTAGATATAGGAAATGATTGTTGGCATTTTCATGTGAATTGATCCAGTTATTAACTTTAGTTCTCTATGTTTGAAGAAATGAGGCTAGCTGCTGCTATTTTTATTTTTTCTTCTGTGTTATTTTGAATTATTGTGCTATCTGACTGTGAATAAGGTTGACTGTACTTCGCTATGTGTTACTACTGAGTAACCGAGGATCTTCACCTAAAGTGTCGATTCTCGCATCAAAAAGTAGTAATTTCTATGAGTACGTAGTCATATAGCGGTAGGAGCTGAGTAACCGGGCTCCTTCATCTGACAAATGTTAGAGTTCGCGTCAAAAAGGCTTCAATGGCTAAAAACTAAGTCTTTTGTTACTATTGAAAAAGAAAAAAAAGAAGAAAAAAAAGAAAAAAATAGAAAACGTGATAAAAAAAAGGTGAAAGTTGTGTCAGTGTGTGATAACAGTCAGCTTGCCGAATCGTGGACTTAATGTTGAGATTTTGATTAATAATTGAATCATTTGCTGATAAATGTTGAACGACCATTCCTTTCTCTTATATTAGTTAACCTGGAATTGAAGGAGTTTGTAGTTTAGAAGCTAACCGGAATGATGTTTCTTGGACTTGGCCATTGATGCTTGATTTCTGTTTTTCTTGGTATCTTGGCAATATAGTAGATGGAGTAATACCCACTGTCGAATATTGGTGTTTGTTTGCTGTTCTGATGCTTGAGAACAAACATGATTTAGGTGTGGGAAGAATTGATAGGTTGCAATTTTATCATTTATTTTATTATTAATTTCCCCTATTACCTGACCGATGTGGATTAATTATTAAATTCTACTCACTTTTGACAATTTGCATTTATGTCAGGGAGTAGAACGAAAATACCATAACAAGTACCAATTTGGCAGTCATCAGGAAAGAGTTCAAGTAGCAGGCATCCAGGGATATTTTTGGAATATCAAGATGCGACCCTTCTTAGTAATTTGGCCGAAAACAGCATTAAAAAAAAAAGGTTGGAGTCTTCTTCCTCTCGCGAGGGGACGCCGCACAGTAGCAGTAGGAACTAGATATTAGATAGCAGACAATTAGACAAACTCTGGAGATTACTTTCTTACTTGGTTTTTGACTTTTCCCTCTTTTCGTCTTTTAGTAGTTGTGCTCCCTGCGTATGTCAAGGACAATTAGAAACAAGCAATCACTCTCTGTAGCTTTGTTTTTCTTTTCCTGATTGAAGCGAATTGAATTCTCCCAATTTCTGAGACAATGGCCGCGACTATTGCTTCAGTTTTGTATGGATTCCCTCATCAACGATGAACTAAACCCCTTTTTCTAGTCAAGAAACAATAGAAACTTTGGTTCGCTTAAAAATTGTGAGATCGATTTAATTTTATCTTTTTCTCTTATTTATTGATATTTGCATATTCTACGATTGCAGTGCTTATGGTTGTTTAATTGATTGATTATCTTGGATCCGAATAGTGAATTGATTTAGTAACCTATTGTCAATTAGGCATTAAATCCGTAATTGTTTAATTGCCTTGAAATAGTGACAACTGGCATGATTGGGTTTGTGTCTGGGGAATACGCGAGCTAATTTAAAATAACCCTGGTAGTGCATTATTTGGTTAGAATAGGGCTCCTCTAATACGTATGGCAATTGGGGAAGTAAATCTTATGGGCGTACTTAAAATTATTTCTCAATTAGAGCAGTAATTAACGGGCGTACCTTAATCACCGACACAGTAAGGAGGGGTTGACTGTCATCGCTTGTTTGACAGTTATAACCTATTTATTAGTAAATAATTGGAATTGTCTTTGCATCGATGATCAATTAGGTGAACCATTGCTAAAGTTATTTCTTAGCTAGATCTTCAATTATTATTACTCTAATTTTAGTGAATTGTCATTTAATTTCTAGTTAGCTATTTATTTTTATTTGAGCTCCTTTGATCGTCATTGTTTATACAAAAACACCCCATTATTACTGTGGATTTGAAAAGAAACGAATTTTCCCCAACCCCTGAGGATACGACCTTACTTGCCCTGTTTACAAATTGATAAGTCCTTGTGAAAAAACAATCACATTCTGGTATATCGGGTTAAGTAAACTCTTCGGAAACAGGGTGAATCAAGTAAGCCATTGCACACCTAGAGTTCCTGCTCCAGTACTTAGAATCAGGTTTTGATATTTTAATTGGCAACTAGGTTTATTTTTATTATTACACAGGCATCGACAACCTGTCACTTCTCAGCCGAGTTCTTGGCGAGTCAAATATTTTAGAGTCATCTCGTCCCGATATCGTATCGAAGGGTCCGTTCCGGTGACAACTCGGCCGAGACTTTGAACCTTTTGTATCTGGCCTGATTTCTTGAACTAGCAAAAATCATCCTTTACATTATATAATCTTTGCTGTCCAAGGCTGCAAAGAAATTTCATGCAATTAGAAGTGGCAATTCTGCTAACGTATGATTTTAGAGGTCCCCAATCTGATTTCTATCGCCTCTGGAGGAGGCCAAACTATTATTTTGATCAGACTATAACCAGCAGAAATGTACCTACCTATGGAGATTATTTTGATGGATTCAGTACACTTTCCTATTAAAGACAGATGGTAATGGATGGTAATCTTTGTCTTAATATTTCTAGCAGATCCTATTAAAGACGGATGAGGCAGCCAGTGAAGACCTTTAAATAAGATGGCAAAGAGGTAGCGAATAAGAGACCAGAGAATCAGATCTTGCACAAGGACAACTTTCATGTACAAAGCTGAGAAGCCATTTGACACCCTTTTGGCCACTGGATTTCCTGGAAAATGAAACAGATAAATGGCAGCCTAGATATCCACTTCTGGAAACCAAGAAGACTGCCAGTTCACTCAATGAATCTTAAGAAGGCATCAATCATAGTTCTGTTCTCAGCGTTACATGTCAAAGCACTAGCTAGCCCCAGTCAGCATCTCCGCAATCCTGTCAATCCAAATCTTGTTGTCATTGTTGGTATTCTTTCAGTAATGTTGCCATTACTTTTTTTGTTGCTGGCATACACCAAATTTTGTCCCTCAGCTCTGTCTAATGACTCAGATGATCAAGAGCAAGAGCCTGAAGGTGTTCTTCGATCAGTATCCGGATTGCAAAAAAGTATAATTGATTCTCTCCCATTTTTCACTTTCTTATCACTTAAGGGCTCAAAAGAAGGCCTAGAATGTGCAGTTTGTTTATCAAAGTTTGAAGACATCGAAGTGCTTCGCTTGTTGCCAAGGTGCAAGCATGCATTCCACATAAATTGTATTGATAAGTGGCTTGAAAGCCACTCTAGCTGCCCTCTTTGCAGGTACAAGTTTGATACAGTGGATCTCAGGAGCTTTTCTTTTACAAATAGTTTAAGGTACCCTCGAAACTCATCCAATCTGTCAGAGGAACCAAATATTGAACTTTTCATCCAAAGAGAGCAAGAACATCACAAGTCATCCAGATTTAATATGGTCAGCAGTCTTCAGAAACTCAGTGTAGGCAGGAAAGAAGATCAGTCAATCCCCAGAGGTAGTAGAGCTGATAAATCAGACAGAGATCTCATGCATAAATTCAAGCACAAAATCTTTGTCTCTGACCTTATTTACAGAAGTAGATGGAGCGATGTCAACTCCTCAAACTTATTGTGCTTAAGGTCTGAAATGCTGAATCTGAACTCAAGTAAAATATTCTCCCCATTTAAGCCTGAACGCCAGAGGTTTGGCAAAGAATTTCTCATGAATGAAAGTATTTTCGAGATCAAAGAAGACATAGAAAGAAAACGATTGTATGTGTCAAAAGTCAGCAAAGTTACAGGACATCCAGTTACAGCATCAAGCCCTCCAATTGCTGCCAACATTGGCCTAAACCAGAAGGTAAACTTGACGCTACTCGATTCAGCTGAGAAGAGATCAAAGTCAGAAATAATCAACTTTCCACGATATGCAGAGTACAGTGCCAGAAACCGGACTAATGAATCATCAGTCTTGTCCAGGAGTGGGAGAAAGGATGAGATAATTAGAAAGCTCTGGCTGTCTATAGCAACAAGGACAGTTCAATGGTTTGCAGACAGAGAAAGAGGTCTAGATTGGAAAAGATCTCCATTGAATGTCTGAAATCTGCCAAGAATTTAATTTGTCCACAACTTTTTGAGGTAAATGTTTAAGAATTACTAGTTCTTTACCAGCCATGTTAATTCTTTATCAAACCATCCTGTATAATCGTTCAAATTGAAAAAATAATTCCATATTGAATTTTAGAGTTACATAGATTGTTAATCATGAGAAGACTTGCCATTCTATGCTATAGAATATCGAAAACTTCCAATAATCCATGTACATTTTATTCTTCTCATGGTTAAGAATTAAAAAGACATAAAATGGGAAAAAATTTTAACTTCTAAAACAAAGTGGATGTCTTTGAGATAATTCTTGTATTTAACTTTTTGTGCCTTATAAATCTGACAGATGGCTCGCCAGATTGGATATGTTTCAACTTCAAGATGGTGACTTCTGGTCTCCTCTGGAAGGATTCTTTGAGCAAATTTCAACGCCAAGAACTCTCTCTCTTTCTCTCTTTTTTAATAAGGGTTCTCTTTTGTTTATAGTAATTGCTGTGTTGCCGCATGAGAATCTCCTTTTGCATTTTAAGTTTTCATCATATTGCAGATTGTCAATCTACACTGAAGAAAACAAATAGCCTCCTTGTGCTTTATTTGTCTTTTCTTTTTGGTTGGCCTGCTTTTGCACCATCATTCGTTTTTTCCTTTAACAGCAATGTAATATTTTTTTTTGTCTCGAGTTAACTTCCCATCCTTCTCTTCTATAATTTTTGGTGGAAAACAAAACAAACAACGAAATTCATGATACAAGGAGGAAAGTCTACTAAGTTCTTAAGTAATCAAATCAAAATTTACGAGGACGAGGCTTTAGTTTCTATTTTTCTCAATAAGTGCTCTTAAAAGAGAAGGTGTTATGAATCTAGTCCCCATAAATCATGACTAGGTAATCGTCATTTTAGGCACATTTCAATTCTTGTCTACTTTTCATTGGCTTAAGATCAATATTCATTGTTTTCAACTTCTGATATGCAACAAGTTTTCTCCAATCTAACTAATGGTGCAAGGATTTGTTTCTGATATGCAACAAGTTTCCTCCAGTCTAGCTAGTTAGCTAAGGATTTGGTTTGTAACTTTATATTGAATTTGTTCTTTGTACATAATAGGTAGATATCACGTGTTTGTGAAAATATTAATTAAGTGAAAGAAGAAATGACTTCATTTCATTTTCTTTCTTATAAAGGTCCTAAGACAAAGTCCTAATCTGATTTTGGTACCCGAACTAGGGAATAATCAACCAATGATGCTATAGATGAAAAGGAATTGGCATGTGGCACCAAGTAACATGAAGCTTCTTTTTTGCTATAGGTAAAGCAATCCAATAAGATCTTGCATCCGAGGGCATTGTATTCCTTAATTAGCCGGATGGTGCCTGGCAAAGTGCAAGACTTGAATATAGGAGCATGCTATATTTTCAGACGAATGATTGAATGGTGACTGTTGAATAGGGCAAAATACACATTACCCCCATGTGATATAGCTATTTTCACATAACCACCTATAGTTTTAAAAGTTATATATAACACTCTCATAATTTGGATTAAAGTATCAAAGTGACGGAAATTATCATTTATAACGAAACTTATAAAAATATAAAAATTACCCTTGATTAAAAACTAAAATAGCTGAAGTAATCAAAATATATAAATATAATATGCATGAAACTCTAACCCCGTGTGATTTTATGTTTTACCATATAATTCCCTTGTGATTTAGTGGTTTACCATACAACCCCTTTATGATTTTCAAAATATATACATAATTTCCATGTGATTAATAAATAATTTTCAACTTTACGTAGGGGTATTTTTGATATTTTAGTTGACTCCATTATGGATTGCAAATTCCGTCACTTTGACACATTAATCTAAACCATGAGGGGGTTATGTATAACTTTTGAAACTATAGAGGTTATGCAAAAAAGTACTAAATCACAAGGGGTTAAGTGTAATTTGCCCTATTGAATATGGGAGGGGACTAAAGTACAACTATTTTAATTGTGGAGGTGCTACAAATGGATAACCTCACACTTTAAGGGGCTTTGTAAAGTTTTTCCATTTTCAAATATCCTAACAATTATTCGTATTTTCTAACTAAATGTGTAAAATAAATAGTAAGCTTTCCGATTTACATAGTCCATGAATGATATTCTGCTTAGTTACAAAATTTTGGATTTTATTCAAATGAAAATGTGTCTTGTGAGTTATGTGCAGTCTAACAATGGAGTATTATATGTCAAATAAAAATAAAACAAAGAATGGAGTAGTATAAATTATTTAAGCATTTAATATCTCGTAAGCAAAATACAAGTGAAAAGTGATATATAATTAATGTAGCATACTTTTTACTAGTATAACTGTATAAGCATAAAAAGATACACAATTCTGCCCAACTTTATTTTTTTAAATGGCTTTCTTCTCGTACATTTGAAGGAAATTAAAAAAATTAGGAATCATATGTGATTTATGTGAAAGTCCAGAAAATTCACGTTCTATAACTTACTAACTAATCTGTCATACAATAGAATTATATGATTAAAATAATGTATTTTCTGAAATGAAGCCAAAGATATGAATTAGAGGTTGTGGGTTCAATTTCCTCCTTTCCGCTTCCTACTTCTTAAATATCACACTTCCTTGCTAAAAAATAAAAATAAAAATCAAAGATAAAGTTAAAAAAATTACTATATGTCAATTGAAGTCTATATAGTCAAGGAGGTTAGGGTTGAGCCTAAAAAATAAAAATAAAAATGATAAAGTTAAAAAATGCTATATGTCAATTGAAATCTATTTCTTTCTATTTTTTAAATCTCACCATTTCCCTGCTAAAAATAATAAAAATAGAAATATAAAATATAAAGTTAAAAAATTACTGTGTCAATTGAAGTCTGTATACTCAAGGAGGTTGAGGCTAGAGAGATCCATCTGACCAGCCAAACATATATAAAAATCTACTATCAAATCCAAAAGTAACAATTCAGCTTGCGGTATCGAAATCCCTAATCAGGTCTGGGCTATATATTGTAGGCTAAAGTAGCTAAAAGATTATTCAAGTTCAATCAAACGAGGGGGAGGGGAGAGGAGGAGTGAGCTGGGAGTACTAGGGGAGGGAGTATAACTGAGAGATTTCGAATTCGAAACATCCCACTTACACTAAAAAATATATACAATCAAACAGCATTAATTTAGAATTGCCTAAACTGAACTAAATGCACCAAAATGACTAATTATTTACGAGTCTATCTAATGTGTGTCCAGTACGTTAATATATATTTCAAGTCTCATATTTTTTAAAATGTAAAATTAATTAGGGAAAGTAAATAAATATAAGGGGTGTGTCCTTTCCGGTCCTCTCGTACTGGGAAAAGGTCCTCTCAATGCTCTAACACCCACACCAGATATGGACCGAACTGTCTCACGACGTTCTGAACCCAGCTCACGTACCGCTTTAATGGGCGAACAACCCAACGCTTTGAACATACTTCAGCCCCAGGTGGCGAAGAGCCGACATCGAAGTGCCAAACGTTTCCATCAATGTGAGCTCTTGGGGAAGATCAGCCTATTATCCCTAGAGTAACTTTTATCCATTGAGCGACGGCCCTTCCACTCGGCACTGTCAAATCACTAAGGTCGACTTTCGTCCCTGCTCGTCGGATGGGTCTTGCAATCAAGCTCCCTTCTGCCTTTGCACTCAAGGGCCAATTTGCATCCGGTCCGAGGAAACCTTTGATGATAAGTAAGATTAAATAGAAAAAGCATATTAATGTAAAAGATAATAATAATTGTTAACATATATATATATACATAATAAGTTGGGAAAATTTTAGGTGTATTAAGGAATGCCCAATAGGCACCCATGCACTCGTTGGAAAATCCCATTATTTACGCAATACTCGCCCATGGTCCATGTTATAAGGCCCACCCACGTAAGGCCCTCATCTGCCCACCTTCTCGGGATCTGTTGTAAATTTTGATTCCAGACCGTCCAAAGAGTAAAATGGAAATATGGGCCAGAGGGGCCGTGCATCGCCCAGAATATAGCCTGGTTTAGCTTAGTTTCGGTATTTCACAGTTTTGCCACGGAAGAATTGGAAATTAAAAATTTTATATACACAATCAGTGCATACATTATCACCGTTGGATGGATGATATATGAACAAATTTTAAATTTTAAATTCAAATTTTACATATGTGTCATATATTTAATGGTGATAGTGTATTTTATATACACTGACAGTATATATAATATTAATTCTTATCTTTTTAACCTTTTTGAAAAGTAACGTCTTTTTTTTTATAAAGAAAAGCAATGTCTTTTAGTTGTTAATGTAAAAAGGAATGAATATTTAATCCTTCAAGCTTTATTCTTATAATATTCCAAAATCATAGTTACCAACAAAGACAGCCTATGCTAGCTTACACAAACAAGCACATTTGGATAGAATTCTTCTGCTCTAAACCTGAATAAAAAGTGGGATCCTTGCCTATACTAAGTTAAACTTTTAATGCCACAACTCATTCATTTAATTCAGAAATAGATCATAAAGTCTGAATATTAGGTCGAGTCAACCCTTTTTTGGTATGCTAATTTTGTACCTATAGGGTAGAAAATATAAAAACCATCCTAGATTAAAGATCACAAGCTTAAAACTAGAGTTAACACTTGAATTTGGGTGATCATATTCTTCAAAGATCAAACTTTGTGTACACCACTATTTTTATAATATCGATTGGCAATTCAAAATTGATCCATATATATACTAGATCGGTCCATATGAATAAGCCGCACGTACCTTGGCAAGAGGATAATTTTACATGAAATTAAGAATTGACTTCTCCTAGTAAACGAAAGAAATTCAAAACAGACTTCATATATAACTCTGAAAAGGTTGGTGGGATTTACACTATTAGCTTGGTTCAAGCATAACTACCAAAGTGAACTAGTACGTGAACTTCAAACCGATCAACTTTAATTCCCTAGAATAATGTCTACTTGTGA